TAGCAGTAAGATAGAGTATTGAACCAATCATTCATTGGTACATGGTTTCATTTACATTAGCGCCTATTGGATCAACAATAATAGATGTTGATGAGGACATTGGAGTCTTTTTTTGGCTTGCTATTAAAGAAACCAAATTTCTTCAGCATGTCTACAATGTAATTAGCTTGACAAACAAAGATTCCATTGGTTAATTGTTTAACATGAAATCCTAAAAATAAAGTCAGTTCTCCCATCATGCTCATCTTAAATCTCTTGGTCCAAACCTCAATGAACTCAGAACTTAGTTTCTTATCAATAGATCCAAAAATGATGTCATCAACATACGCTTGAGCAAGAATGATGTGAAATCCTGAATGCTTAATAAACAAAGTTCAGTCAATTTTACTCTTTTGTATTGATGACATCCCAATCTTTTAATACAAATAAAATACATTTCTTATGAAATACTTTTATAATATATCTATCATGTTTTTCTGGTAACAAATTCCGTAATATTATTATTCAAAAATATACTCTGATTTTAACGTAAATCATGAACTAATCGGTCTTTTCTGGCAATGAAATTGGGGATGTCATAATTTCCTTCCTACATGGGGATCTTCAAGAAGAATTCTTTCTGAAGCAACTTCCAGGTTTTGAAAATGAAGAGTTTCCAAATCATGTATGTCGTCTTGATAAAGTTGTATATGGTTTGAAGCAAGAACCCAGGACATGGTATGACACATTCGTAAGTTATCTTAAGGGGAATCAATACCGAAACATAAGCATAAACAGACATTACATTCGTCTACACTAATGATTTGCATCTCCATTAATCTCTCAGTGTAATGTGTCACTACTAGAAAAACAACCTTTTACGACGCGCAATGCGTGTCGTAAAATGCTCAGACGACGTGCAAATGCACGTCAAGGAAGACCTTGTCATAACGAGAGACGACGCGCATTTACGGTGCACATTTATGACATGCATTTACAATGCACATTTATGACATGCATTTACGATGCGCATTTACGACGCGCAATGCGTATCAAGGAAGCCTCTGTCATAAAGGTAGACGACACGCATTTGCATGTCATAACCTTACGACACACGTTTATGACACGCATTGCAACTCATTAAAGCCCTTGTCATAAATGAAGATGAAACACATTTGTGTGTCATAAACTTCAACAACCATTTACGATATGCATTTACAACATGCCTTTACGTTATTCATTTACACATACAAAAATATGGAAACAAATATATACCAAAATAATCAATTTGATCCAATAACATCATGTCAAACAAGTTATCAAAAATTGAATTACATTGATATTAATCTGATAGTACATTGTTATTAAGGGGTTTTCCCTAACTATATAACTTGATAATTCATCTATAACTATATAACCTGATCCTTCATGTGATTGGTTTTCCAGTTGGTGTACCACGTAAAAAGGTTGAACTTGGTGTCATGGGCGGCTAACCACCGGGCGTGGCTGGAAAGTAATTTCTCCCTACATTGTCTTTTTTGTTCTAACTATCTTGTGACAACCCCAAATCTATTCCCGTTACAAATCCCATTTTCACTAACGGAATGTGTCGTTATATGTTATTTCTCGGTATTGTTCGGGTCGTCAATAAATAAATATTTAGTTAATTATATGTTCCGGTATTATCATGAGTAATTATAACTTGCAACTGTTAACCCCGTTTAACTAAATAAAGTTATATTACTATTCAACCACTTCACCCGGGTAAAAAGTTTTAACCCCGTTAAACTTTAGCATCGGGTAGCCGTGTATCGGGTACAATACGTAAGACATATATAAACGCTTGAACACTACAATTGAACTCTTTTACCACAATTACACCTCTCTCTCACTACTTTCTCTCTCTAGACCCGAAATCGACTCCAAATCCGCGAATTCTCGACTTCCAAACGTAAGGATTCATCCCCTAACTTAATCTAATCATACTTTACTGCTTTTAGAGTCCAAAATCATGAGAATCAAGGACCAAAAAGGAGTTTACGGCCAAAGGGGCTTCATAGGCCGTAAACCCCCAAAATCATACCAAAAGCCTTGTTTTTCCTTCCTTTAAGCTTATGGACTAGTTAAGGCATAAACCTAGGAGACTTTGGACACCAAAACACAAGGATTGGACATGTAAAAAGGAGTTTACGGCCCAAGCACATGCTTAGGCCGTAAACACCTCAATCACCCCAAAAACACTTGTTTAAAGTCCCAAAAACTCATCTAGGGTGTTTGGCAATTTAGACTTGACAACAAGGAAGGCTTAAATGCATCAAACAACATCATTTGATGGCAAAAAGAGGAGTTTATGGCCAAGGCTAAGCTTGGGCCGTAAACACCCAAAAATTTGTGTCAAACAAGTCCCAAAACCCCTCAATTGCATGTAAGGATTTTATCTAAGGCCTTTGGAAGTGTGTTGTACCATTAAACTTCACATTTGGACACAAAATGAAGAGTTTACAGCCAAGGATGTTCTTGGGCCGTAAACTCCCCAAAAATATATGCCAAATTGTCCCAAACTCACTATATGGTCTTCTAGGATTTATCTAAGGTGTATGAGACTTTGTTGTACCATTAAAACATACATATTGAAGGGTTTACAAGAGTTTACGGCCCAAGAACAAGTCTTGGCCGTAAACTCCCCAAAAATGTCACAAATTATGATGTTTAATCCCTTAAAATAGTCCAAGACACATACCACTAAATCAAGGAAGTGAAATAAGACCTTAAACATACACTTTGGAGTACCACTAGAGTTTACGGCCAAACCTAGGGGGTTTACGGCCGTAAACTCCCAAAGGATGGCCTTTGGGCCATAAACTCCAAGGGAGTGAGCTCGTGGACCCTCCCGTAAATCATTCATGACTTTGTACCACTCCCGGGAACCCCTTCTAGGCCTTAAAACCCCGAAAACGATGCTAGAATGTCCAAATACTATAATGAAAGGCACAAGATGATTAACTTCTTGTAAAATACATATTTCATAGGACATTAGGGTCCTAGGAGGTGCTCAAGAGGTTATTGGGTACCAAACGCTCAATCGACACTTTTACCCGATTTACCCGATTCACCCGGTTTCCGCGATTTCAGGTGAGTTCATACCCCTTAATGAACCTTTCAAATGTTTTATATGTTTTAGGGGGGAGATACAAGTTGAATACACATGTTTATGAAAAGTTATACAAAACTATTTTTCAGATTTCGGAGTTAATCACATGTGATTCATAATCTGTAGTTCAAATCACATGTGATTTGTCACCATGCTTTATAAATAAGTCAATTGTTTTCAAAACTACTTTGGATTAACAAACAAGTTTTAAATGTTCCTTTCGTACAACACTTTTGTTAATTAAAACTCTTTATGAGAATGTAATCATACTAATATATTTATATAAGTAAGACTTGAAAGACTTAGGACCGATAGCTCGCCTTATTTCCTGTTTCTTGTTTGATTGTGGACTTAGGGTAGTAGTTATCCATCCGACTGTCATTGATTTCTTAATTATATATCTCATATATTAGTACGGATTATGAGTACTTCTTAATTCATTAATTACTTGAATCACTACTTGACTAGAACCACATACACCAAATTAACTATAATGGGTATAGTTAAGGACTCTATCCCTTGTTACCACTATTACTCTACACTACTATAATTCTCTATATTATGAAGCAATACACTAATAAGAGAATACAATACAAGTTATACGAAAGATTTCTACACTATAATACAAGAGAATGCACTAATCATGAGATAACTCACTAATCCACTACGGGATACTCTATACGCTATTCACTATGCCCGAAGTTTTCCGACAGGAAGACGACACTATATGTATAGATCTATACGGGGCAGACACTATTGCATCCCGACTGATAACTTCAGTCCGAGCCGCTCAGGCCCAGGGATGCTGTTACTCTACTACACTATGCATGACTGGGAAGGTCATGGGGATTCGCTATTACTCACACTATTGGGAATATACTAAGAAAGACACTATAACCGCACTAAAATACTAAAAGAAAGATGAAGTAATATCCCGAAGTAAATAAGTATCTAATACTAAAGGATGCTGCACCACTATTATATACTCTAAGAATAACTCACTATATTATATTTCTTAATGGTGAGTCACTATTACACTTCTATGATAAATGACATTCAAAGATAGAAATGACATAATTCTTAAAGATTTTCACTCACTATACAGTTCTGGAAAATATAGGATTTTCTAGGTTTTTACCACTATTTATGATTTCAAACTTCAGTTTTCATACTAATGACTCTAATGCTTTTATACAAATACTCACACTAAAACTCTTATGAACTCACTAGCTTTATGTTGATATTCTTTTCAAAATAACTTGTATCTTCAGGTCAAAGATAGACAGGTACAGCAGCAATTTTTGGAGTAGATGGAGGATACAAGACCCATCTCTTATTTTTGTTTACTTTTGGTGTTTGTCAAACTTTACAAAACACACTTGTAAATACACTTACTATATGAATGAAATGGTTGCGTGTTTCTTGCTTTTACTATTTTACAATTGTGATGATACTGTACACTACGTCATCCACCCCGAAACGTATTCCGCCGTTATCGGTTTTGGGGTGTGACATATCTCCAGTAGTGGCATCAAGTGAGCTAGACTGTAATCATTTAATAAGAAAAAAGTTTAAAAAAAGTTAATATGAGTTAAAAATTGCCTATAAGATGTGGACATATGGATTTTTTCATCTAACATGAAGAAATGTGCCCCAATAACTCGATCTTGAAATTTTATTTTTTCTCCAATTAAATTGAGGTGAATGGTGGATGTGTTGGTTGCTAAAATGCAATGAGGGGGGAAAATGGTTTTAATATCACTGAAGATCATTTGCTTTAAAGGAATGTTCTCAATTACAGTCTGTATTGACAAATAGAGTTGCCAAATTATGTCTTTTATAAAGTTTACATTATATGTGTTTTTAAAGATCATACCTCTATAACCATATCTACATCTTTAAATTGTGAGTAATCCAAAACCCCATTAACCAATAACAACGCCTTTTCATCTTGACCCTGTGGTAGCTTCTTCCTTTCAGCCAATCCTTTAACATTTGTTGAAAAGTCATCAAATATATAACCAATAAGTCACATAATAAAATGGCTACAAAATATAAGAGATAACTAACTACCTTCTATTGTTTTTATTCCCTTTTGAAGATACTTAGAGTTGACTTCCTTGAGAACAACTTTTATATTACCAAGGATAAGGGCAATTGTTATTCCAGACCCCATTAAACCTCCACAAATCACAACAACTTTTCTCACACTTCTTGGCTTTAAACCAACATTAGTAACTTTAGGTACCTGTAAATGTAAAATCAAAGAAAACCAACTTTAGATTTGTAGAAATTTTGATATTTCAGAAAAAAAAAAAGAGAAAAAGGTTTAAATTACCTTTGAGATAGCACGTTGTGCAAAGAATATATAAAAAAGAATGAGTTAACAAAGAAAGTTAGAAAAAGAAGGATTTTCATGTCAAGTTTCAACCTTTTACAACTTTTCCCTCATCCCCTCATTTATGTTTTTCCTTTTCCTTTTTCCTCGAACGTGTTTTGAATTTCTCATATATTTTTAAACATGATTCATTCAGCCATACCTCCAAAGCATGGCATAACTCCAAGAGAGAGTTCAGGTAAGTCAAGTTGAGTTCTTGGAGCCGCAACACACGCATGGGAATACATTAAAAAACATTTACAATAACTATTTTTTTAAATAATTTGACTCATAAAAACTACAAACCTTTGCAAGTTCTAAGCCACCCCGTGTGCAAGTCCTTGTACATCAGCAAAATCCATATCCGTACCTCCATGTTTGCTTTGAACCTGAATTAGTTAACAAGAGCTTCTCTCTCAAGGCGTGACATGAAAGGGAGGAACAATATTGCCATTGACCTGAAGAATGAAGATAAGATGTCATTATTAGACTTAACTCTTGAGACCCTTTAGGTTAAAAATACTCATCAAACAGTTACAGAATGGACTTACCTTTGCAAGCATTGTCAGCATTTTACCTCTCCCCTTAGCGTAAATACAAAGACACGACTACCTAGAAGATACTTCGTGATTGTATTTACAAACTCTTTAGAGCTCATGTTTCCAACAAACTCCTCTTGCAATTCTCTAATTGCATTCAGCCACCCAATCTGAAGAAATCATTTGTGTAATGAATAATATATTCTGATCAGTTTTATGATGATGAGTAAGTATTAAGTAGAAAACTCCTCTAGCCATTCTCTAATCAATTTTTGGTTTTATGTTATTGATGACTGGCATCCCAGGGAAAGTTCCGATGCTTATATCTGCCATTCTCTAATCAATTTTGGGTTTTATGTTATGGGATTGGGAGTCGTGTTAGTGTTAGTGTTGTTGTTGCTATGGCTGTTGCTGTTAGGAGCACCATCAGATGTGTTGCTGTTGTTGTTGGCTCCTTGTACCCATGGTTGGATTGGAGTGCTTGCTGTAGAACTTGCACTACCATTTTGAGCAGCTGAAAAATGAAACAAAGTAAATGAATATCTCACTATTTTCCCATAGTATAAATAACTAAAATTCTAAGGCTAAACACAACAAGGTATAGGGATTTAATAGAAAAAGATGAAATAGGACGCCATAATACACGTGTAAAAGAAATTATGATGTTGTTTCTTGCATTTAACAATAAATAATAAGTGTAGTAAAAAGTAAAAAGTAACCTTGTGAAGCTACAGGGCAGGAGTGCCAGTAGGTGTGCCATTTGTCCCTGCAGTTACAACATGACTTGCTAGCGTATGACAGAAGCTGGCATAACCAACACCATTGCTCTCACCTCTTAAGCATTTGTTCCTTTAATAGCCTGCATTTTATCCTGTCTAATCCCTGCGTTTTTTTATTTTTTTATTTTTTTATTAAATCCAACAGAAAAAGCACCATCCATAAATTAGAGAAATAGCTTAAACAAACATACAGGGCCATATTGTTGTATGTGCTGAGTGGAAGGAAGGAATGAAAATCTGCATCCAGAACCGCAATCACTTTATTCAGTGAAACTGAGTAACAACATAACAGACACATCATCAACACATGTTATTGAAATGACAAAACTGCCCTCCACTAGCTAATTTTTTAGGCCTAACGTGTTTTAGATTACAAGGATTAAAAACATCACTTGGCAAATCAAAAGGATCAAAAACAACCCTTTTCTCCTTCTCTATGTCATAATATGACATGTTTATACCCTCATAAGTCGATCCTGGAGTAGGTGTTTGATTGTTTTTAAAGTAATCAGTTCACTTTCGTGACCCACACTGTCTGCATAGGAGGTTGTCCACCAAAAGTTGATGTAGGATTCCCAAATATCAGATGCCGAACAACAAGCTCTAAATACGATTCCTATCTTTAAACTCTCCATCCTGTAATTCAAGGACCTTCATCTGGGTCACAAGGAGACAGGTATTGACCTACATAAACAATGTCAACAGTTAAAAAGTAAATGTATGTTTCACAAATGGAGATGGTTGGAAGGTTGAAAGGTTAAGTACCTTCAACAATTACAATAGCAATGATAGAGCCACCACAGGTAGGGTCAAAGGCAACTGCAGTAACTCTAGAACCCCATGTAGTTGTTGCTGCTAATTACGCTGAAGCTTCAGGACTCACATATGCAGAAAAATTTGAATCAAGAGAACAATGAAGGGCAACCATGTCACTATAATCTTGCTCTGTTAATTTCTTCCCTTGTTTACTTTCTGAATCAAAGTATTCCTGCCAGCTAAACAAATAAGAAGCCAATGAAGCAAAACCATCCCAAGAAGGTGGAGTAAGTGAAGAAGGGATCCAATTGGTAGTGCTCGTCTTTGGAGTTGCTTGAAATCCATTCCCAAATCCAGGAGTCACCTTTTACAAATAATTGTTAAAGAGATATCAAACTTTCAAGATTTTCCATTGAACTTTTCTTTACATCATCACTAGAAGACTTTAGTGCAGGCTTCAATGTTGATTTACAATCCATCCCAAGCACCTCGGCAAGTGTTAAACCTTTGTCATTCAAATCATACTAGAAGTCATTTCCTAGTTTCAACCTAAAAATTTAACAAGAAAACAAAAAATTAGTAAGGGTTGTGATAAAGATGATTCATATGTCAAAAAAGTGTACCTCCTCATAGTCTAGTTGCATTCGATCTGAAGTGCCTTAAGCTCCTTTAAATTTGTTCCTATGACAACATTAGGATCCCAAAATTTCTCCTCCCATTTGTTCCTTTCAATCTCTACCTCTCCTATATCTCTTTCCATTGATTGTAACTCTATCTTCATCTTTTCTGCATCTCTTAAATTCATAGTTTGTTCGTACTGCTTTGGATAAGTGCAATTGGGTTAGAAGGTATCTGCAATCAATCATGAGTTATAGTCACAAATAAAGAATATGAAATCAAGTACAGGTTTGGAGATATTCATATTTCATAATTCAAGAAGAAAGAAACAGCTCTAATAAACCTCATGTAAGAAAAATAGAAAAATAATGTATACCTTTTTTAAAGGAACCATGTTTGGGACACTCATACATCCGGTTCGATGATGGGGTTCAAGAATATGGAAGCTTATGTTGGTAGGAGTGTGAAGCAGTGGTGTGATTTTAACAGTAGTGTGTATCTGTGATTACAACATAGAGAGGGAGGAGTGTGGTGGCTCAGCGATGTTAATAGAGAATAATGACGATGGAAGGTGGTGGTGGACCTGGTGGTGCATTGCAGGTGCAGTATAGTCTAGTGGATGAGTTGGTGGTGGTGTTCATTGTTGCGGAGGGATTAGGGTTTCTAGAGTGAGAGACGAAAGGGGAAATTAGGGTAAATGTCTGCAGAAGGAAGCATGTAATCAAGAGCTTTGAAGAAGCGTATCTAGAAGGAAGCAGGTCAAGAAATAGTGCAAGAAAACTGTTGGCTAGTATTCTCAAGAACAGCAGAGAGATGAAGAAGGTGAAATTACAGCAGTACTGAAGTAGATGAATGGAAATCAGAAGCCCTTTTTCTTGATTGAGATGATGAAGCCGAGAGATGGAGATGAAATCGTAACCTTCGATATTTGATTGAGAAGTTGCACAACAGTGTGAGGAGAATGGAAGATGCGTGAAAATGCTTAGGGCAGGGAGGGTAGCGGGCTTTTCTAATTTTTTGGCTTTCCTTTTCCCGCTTTTAACTAATGAACGAGCATTCATTAAAATTATAAAGTGACACCTACAGAGGAAGCGCATTTAAGATACAGTGCCCTCCGTGTTTTTAATTTTTTTTCTTTTGACACTAATATAAAGGCACGCAATAATGCGTGACTTAAATCATTAAATTTTCTGAAGAGATGACACTTTTTAATGTCATTCTTGTTTGCGTAACATAAATTAATGAGTGTCGTTATTTGCGCGTCGTAAAAGGCTATTTTTCTAGTAGTGTATCTTCGCATCGATACCTATGATACAAATAAGCTGAGTGGATCAGGTTGGGTAACCTGGTTAGTAATCAGGGATTTCAATCCCACAATGTTATATCATTCATTCATATATATATATATATATATATATATATATATATATATATATATATATATATATATATATATATATATATATATATTAGAACTCGTAATATACAATTTCACCTCATATAAATAATTTTATCCCACCCCCGTCGATCCTTACAATTATCTCCCCATATAAACATTGTGGGATTTTAATCCCACAATGTTATATCATATAGAAGCATTTCCTATTTTATTATATTATACTAATCATGAAACACATAATATTCATGTAATTCTTCTTTATTACGTCAAATAAATTAGAATTGCTGACCTTAACTATTAGTTTGGTTAAAATTATTTATCCGAGATAATCTTCTATAAAAAATCATTTTTAACGCTTATTATATCTTAATTGACTAGCCCTAATCTGTGGGTGTTACAGTTATCTCCCCCTTAGGATGATTATCTCCCATTATCATCAGCAAAACAAGGCATGCATAATGACCCCGTACATTTCCTTTCAATCCTAGATGGTAATCATAACTCTCATGTTCTTTCAAATGAGTATCTGCCTCTAGGATTCCTTGACTGCTGGTGGTGCACAATCTTGCACCCACTGTTTATCCTATGTTGTACTTCTAATCGTAACCTTAGAATTACAAACTCGGTCCTTATTGGAGACTCCCGCCTTTTCTTAAACATACTTAACTTAAGATAAGGTCTTTACTTCGGTTACCATAATAAACCGATGGGACATGTTCTAATGACATCTCGTCATATGATGCAATGCTTAGACTCTTCTATTTTTTGAGTTAGATTCCAAAATCGAAGATACCTTCCTTCATGTTCTAATGTGGTATAATCACATTCTAGCATGTAACACTTCTAGCAATAATCTTTTTACTTTCATGGCGATTGTGATACTTCTATTGATCGCTTTGATTATCTTTTACTTCAATCTTCCAGCTTAAGTCAAATGCTACATCGAAGTTGGTTCTCTGAACCACGTAGAATACATATCTTAGTCGGACTCGATATAATATGATCACTAGGGTTGGAATAACAATCATCTTCTTGTTCATTACCAAATCGATGGGAACAACAGACATGAACAAAACATAATCAATTACTAGTTCCTTGGTAACCTAGTGACTTTCCCTGATCCAAGTGCGAGTCTTGTGCTTCTGGTAGTATAGGAATCTACTACCTTTAACACCTAATAATACTTGTCCTAAGTATTGTCTCGTAGTCCCGAAGTTCTTATTTCCTAAAAGAACAAAACGATTTAACACATACGTATGTGTTCAAATAATCATAAAAATTTCCCTAAACTCTACTAGCACTTCTTTCATGCGTATCTTCAATCATCAATTTTACTTCAACTCGGTTGGTAGTGGAAATTCCAGAGCATGTGATAACTTTATGGATTATACAAAAAGTTCTCTCTTTCTGGTAATCGAAAGTGTACTTCTGCCGTACTAGACGTATCATCTATTTATACGTATTCTAAAGGCAAGATACCTCTCTTACGATATCTTCCGATATGTATCATTTACTATCGTATGCCTTCTCTTTTCCTCCATTTACTCAATTCGCTACGAGTCTTCACCATGACATTATATTCATGGAAGCATGCGTTTAGTGTATCGGGGTGAGAATATATAGAGAGAAGGTTTAGACGTGCAATCCTCCTTATTACTCAAAAAGTTACATGATAGCTGTAAAACCGTAATTAAACGTTTAGATATCTGAACACATAAAATTTCCAGATCCGGTCGGCAACAGAGCATTGATCTGATCAAATAATGACATCACAAATTATCATAAATCATTTAGCACATAAAAGGAATTTAGACATCTTTTCTAAAATAAGCTAGTGCTCATGTCTATTTACGCATACTTCCTAAATATAGAAGACCCTCATCTCACAATCATCGCTTAGCATTTCCTAGTTTAATTCTATAAATTTCATACAAATTCCTAGTTCGCTTAAGGTAATGCTCTGATACGAACTGTAACATCCCTAATTTCACTACAAAAAAAAACCGATTTGTTTATGCTTTATTTTAAAATCAGAGTAATCTTTTGAAGAATAATATTTCAGAATTTGTTCCCAGAAGAACATGGTAAATATATTGTAAAAGCATTTCCAAAGAAATGTATTTTATTTGTATTAAAAGGTTGGGATGTCATCGTCAATACCGAAACTTAAGCATAATCAGAGCTTACATTCATTAACACTAATTATTTACCACTCCTTAATCTCTCAGTGTAATGTATCTTCACATCGATACCTGTGATACAAATAAGCAGAGGGGGTCAGGTTGGGAAACTTGGTTAATACATATGGATTTCAATCCCACAATGCTATATCATATATATATATATATATATATATATATATATATATATATATATATATATATATATATATATATATATATATATATATTATAACCCGTAATATTCAATTTCATCCCATATAAACAATTTTACCCTACCCCCTTCGATCCTCACAACGACACGATCCATAATCCCAGATCTAAAATTAACATCTTTACCTAATCCATACGCCCGGATCATGTATGTCTTAATCTATTCTCTCAGATCAATGACAAATTACTATGTCCACTCCATACTCTCGGACTATGGACAAGTGACTATGTCTAATCCATGCTCTCAGATTAATGACAAATAACTACATCCTCCCATACTCTCGGAGTAAGGACGAATGACTATGTCTAATCCATGCTCTCGAATCAATGACAAATTTTAAAGTTTGACCCTCCGTGTATACCTCACCTGTATTCATAAGGAGATACTACTCGATATTCATCCTAATTAATTTAGGTTTATTTTGTATCCTAAATCATAATGTATTATCAAATGTGCTCTTAACACGTATTTCAGGGAATAACAAATATTTCACACACAAACATATATTTTATACTTTAATCAATACTTGTATTAAGATCATGTTCATGAAAGGGACTATGCACTCACTTGTTAAAGTGATGACTCGAAACTTGGGCAGCGATTCGCTTCTAACAATTTTATTTTCCTTCGACGATACCTAGTATCATTACCACTAGGATTTAGTCTAATATTTCTTGTGACTAATTATTAGTCTAGATTTATGAGCGATATTATTTTATAAGTGTTAAACAACACTTTTCAACTACTAAGTATAGGCAGGGGATAGACATGAAATACCAGAGGGCATGACCATTTTGGCATAAAAGCTGTTCTGAAATCCTACAACCCAATGCGGCCCTTCAAACCTGATTCCGCATACCGTGATTAGTTAAAGGATATTATATTAACTTCTTTTATTTTATAATACTTAGCACATATATTTTTTAAAGGCTCATAATAACTATGATCAACTTAATTATAATCTATACCTAAAGCACTGTATGTATAGCTCTACTTACAGGTGGTTTAGCGAGAAACTGAACTTTACGCGGGCAGAACTTCATCGCCGAATCTTTCTAAAAGCTACAGAAAGAGAAGTCGAATCACGAGGGAGGGAAATGCTCGGGGGATAAGAAGAGAAAGACTTTTGAATCAAGAGAATGGTGCAAGAAATATGAGAGCCAAGAGCCTCTTATTTATAGTAATTGAATTTTCTAAAACTACTCTCTATAGTTACTAGTGACCTCATAGCTATTTAAACGACTAAACACCCCTTTATACTACTATTTTAAACAGACTAAACGATATTTTTACTAAACTAGTGTCAAATTACTCAACACTAGTCATATAACTGATGGGTTTTGGTACGAAATAAAAGTTTGTTTTTCATAAAAACCGGTAACGGAAAACTTTAAAATAACGAGTTTATTTTTAGTTCATTACAAGACCAAACCATCATGAGTCCATTCATAGAGGATAGAATGAAATAAAAACAACCATAGGATGTTTGAGAGATAACCTTAGAAGCCTTTGAACCCACTTGGTTTTGGGGTGTTGATGAAGAGAGCAAAAATCAAAGTGTAGATTTCTCTACAGCATCCACCATCAAGAGTACGACACTTGGAATGCTAGTTCCTTCTTGTATTATTGAGTGTATTAAGCCTTTAAGTGCTTAACTCAATTAAGCACTAAAGGGAACAACTCAGGAGATCTTCTAAACACCAAAGTAAAGCACCAATCTTCAATGGTTTGGAGCTTCTTCACACTCACGGTTTTAGAGAGAAGAAGAAGGGAAGAAAGATGATCAAAAACTTAAACATTTCTCGTACGTAAGACACTCTCATATTTTTCATGAGAGCTAAGACCTAACCATTAAAATAAACTAAATTAATGGTAGTCTTTATAAGCATGGGAGACAAAAGGTGAAAGGTTGACAAGCAACCTCCCTATCGCACCCCAAAACCGGAACGACGGAAACGTTCGGGGGTGGAGGACGCCATGTTTAGTAACACAAGTCATGCATCATAGTAATCAAAGTAATAAACAACCATTTCATTAGAAAGAAGGTGTTTACAAAGTATGTGATTCACATAACATAAACTACAAAGTAAATAACAAAAAGACATGAAGATACTATGCTCCATCTTTTGAATCCCAGTACGCGTACCTGTCTACTGGTCTCCTGAGAATACAAGTTATTTTGAAAGAGTAGATTAGCATTTAAGCTGGTGAGTCCATAAGATTTTTTTGATGTGAGTAAGTTGTAAGTTCTTTTTAGAAAAGTTCGCC